AATTGTTTATGCAAAATCTGGTATCTGTAGGTAATTACAAATTATTACTTTAGTTTGCACAAATACACAAACTCTTCAAAATATATCATAGATACTGTAGAAACTGACATTTTTCTTAACCCATCTCATTTTTTCTATAGAAAGCCTGACAGCTTTTTAGTAGCAACAAGAAAATTCAGAATATATCTTGTGAGAAAGAAGACCCTTTATTTCAGCAGAACAATGCTACAATGTTCAAATTTCTCCACAAGCCAAATTAAATATGAGTAGGGATACAGGAAAAACAAGAGCTACAGTTAGACGTGGAGATAGCACTGCAGATCACAAAAGAAGCATTAATAGGATATGGAAGAGTACAAGACAGAAAAGGGGTGAAAAATAGGAAAATTGAAGTTAGAAATGACTAAGTGCAATTCCTAGAATAGTCCATGGCCTTAAAGCAAAGTGGAGCCACATTACAAAAATATGTCCACAAAGAGAGTAGGTCAGCCTAATATTTCATATAAAAGTTGCAAACTATACAAGTAACTACTATATTGACATGATCGTTTTAAACAGCTTTTATGACAAATTTTAAGAAAAAGCTATGTTATACAGCTAAAACGTAATAAATCATAGTTCTGAGATAAGTATCACAGCACATTTGTTTCCTACACACTTGTTTCTGACACTTTTTTACTTAACTGTCCAGAAGCAAACAGACATGCACCAAAAAACAGATTTACAAAAGTTGTTTTAAAACACAGTATTGTGGTTCCACAAGCAATAAAAGTTTCATCCCAAACAGCACCATATATGAGATTTTCATTCCATATTTTCCACATCTGAAATTAAACATACAAGTACAAACAATGATATCAAATTGAGGCTGCTTCAGCAGAATGGAATCAACAAGACACCTTAAGTGTATTGCAGAAAGAATCACGTGGGTTACTTGCATGATTCCAGCACATGCCAACCATCTCAAGTGATAATAAATTAAGAAGGAGCAAAGAAGTGCCATGCTACAAAATTCAATTTACCAACATACACCATCTTCCATTTCATGCCATTCCTGATTTGAATATATTTCATTTGCATACATACATGGTAATCAGAAGTGAGCGAAATTTAGAATTATTTTGGGTTGCACCAATTTCAGAAAGTCTGCCTAAAAAGCAGTTTCAGTATCTGAAAGTGAAGATTGAGTTTTAATTGAAGACAGAAAGCTACATTCAATTTTACTGAATAATCCATATGCAAAATTACACTGAGAACATAAAGACTGCTAAAAAACCCTCCCACAAAAGTAAGGTTGCACTTACATCTTAAACTCTTTGGGTGTATACTGCATGCTACTTCTCATAAGCAGAATATTATCATACAATTTTTTCTGTAACCTTGTAGCAGTTTTCATTCTTGAGTACTTCAAGCATCAGCATTCAAGAAAATGCTAGCTAGGTTTTTTTTTTTTTTTTTTTTAAACAGGACATATAAGTAGTACCATTGCTAAACCTAAGAACTTATAATTTAGTTTTATACAGGTCAACTACTATCAAAAGCAACAAAAAGCAGGGAGGAATAAAAGCATAACAACAATTTCACCAGGTAGATTCATTAGGTCCAATTCTTGATGGCACTGCTACGTTCTTTGTTTGCTAACTTCTCCATTCTCTTAATCACTATTTCCTCTCTTATGTTACATTTGACTTGTGTAAGCCTTGTGGAACATGCGTCTTTAAGAGGGAGCTGACTTTTTTAAAAAAAGAAAGGATGTGACGCTGTATGGAATATGCAGTACAATTTGTGATGTTATTGATACCAATACTATAAAACTACCAAGAATCTGACCAAATATGCTGTGTAAGGGATCTCTGAAAATGTTACAATTTGCCCAAGTATGATCATCTTTTTTGTATCCCCTTTGTATTATGGATTATAGATATGTAGAGTATCTTTGTATTTGTGTGCTATGTTCCTAGGTGACACGCCCAGACAATTGTCATCAGCACTGCCTAGGCCCAGGGCTAGGCAAAATATGGCCCGCGGGCCAGATCCAGACCACCAACCTGCCAGATCTAGCCTGCATCAAAGCAGATGCTTGAGCAGCCTTCCTGGCTGCTCCACCCCAGCACACTGCTCAGAGCAGCTGGATGTGGGGGCCATGTGTGTGTCTGATGCTGTGACAAGCCAGCAGGGGAGGAGAGGCTTTGCATTCTGCCCCACCCACAGCACAATCTCACAGCTTCCGTTGGCTTGAAATTGGCCAATGGGAGCTGCCTATTTGCAGGGCAGGCAGAACGCAAAGTTCCCTTTCTTCCAGCTCCAGGCTCGTGGTGCTCAGAGCAGCACATGGCCCCCACAGCCGGCCGCTCTGAGCACAGAGAAGGAGCAAGACAGAAAGGGAGACTGCATGAGGGTCCAACTGGGCTGCTGGCCAGGAAACACCTAGGTAAGCGCTTCCCAGGCAGTCTGCCTCTGCCACCCTAACCCATCCCTCCCTCTAACCTTCAGTCCCTCCCTTCTGCTCCCCTGCTCCACATAATCCAAACCTTCTGCACTCCCACTGCTGCACCCATATCCTGAACTCCAAGCTCCTGCCCCAGGTCACAACCCAAACCCCTGGACCCCCTGCTGCACCCTGACTCCAGGTCACAACTCACTCCCAGACCTTGCACACCCTCCTACATCCCTCCATCATGTTAGAATCATCTCCTGCACCCATATTCATGCCCCAACCTGGACCCTGCATCTCCTGCTGCACCCCAATCACTTGCCCCAGGTCACAACCCCCTCCTTCACCCAAACTCCTTCCTGCACATTCTCTCTTTAGTGGGGTCAGCTGAGGGATTTTTTAAAAAAAAGAGTAACATGATCAGAGTAACAGATGAATGATCATTTTTTGCAGGGACTTTGGACATACTGATGGCAAGCTTGTAAGTATTAGGGAGGTAAAGGCTGCTGGAAATTGCATTGTAGTAGAATATCTTGCACAACGACAACCAAAACAGTGCATGTGTTTTAATAATTTAGTCACCAACCATGTCCAATACAATAATTACTCATTTAACATGAGCCCACTTAACACATTTTCACAATAGCATGATTTTTGGGGGGGAACGTTTTTCGAACAACATGACCGTCCCCAAAATAACACGAAAATAATCAAATGGCAGACTACTTCGTGTGGTGGTATAAGTTGGTGAAAACAGTGGTAATATGCATGAGCGGATGAATACATGTAGTCACAGCACTCCTCCTCTCACTCACGTGTTTATCTTTGTGTTTTAACAAACCGTGGTGATTTGTGGTGCTAGATATCTTGTGTTGCTAGATATCTAATGTTGACATTGATGACTGAGCACCAACAAAAAATTGACTTTGCCACCACCACCTGAAACGCAACCCCCACCTTTTCCATTATTTTTAATGGGAAAATTGACCCTGTATAGCACATTTTCGCTTAGCATGAACATTTTCAGAAACACCTCTATAGAGTTAAATGAGGAATTACTGTACTTTTTTTTTCTAGCCAGCAACACAACTTTCCTTTGGTGCAACTCAGGGGCTGAGACAATTAACAGTTAACTAGGGTGTGATTTTGGAAAGAGTCTAGGTTGTCCTATTTAGGTCAGCAAATGTTCACTACTGCTATGTGTATTTTTAATCAGTAGTGTATTATATAAGTACTGTTTGGTATACAGAATAATACCCAGCACTACACTATCTTGTGGAAGAAGAATAGAGGAACATGCAGTGGAGACCAGAGCTTTGATCACAATAGCGGGAGGGTATGTAACAAAAAATACATTTAAAAAAAAAGCTTCATAGCAGCTATGCAGGATGCTGCCATAGCAATTTACATAAATGTCAGTTTGCTAAGAAATGAAATCTGCCTGGCTTCAAGCAGTCATAAATAAAACAGCATGAGATAATACTGCCAGAATTTATCAGCAGATCAGGAAGCACTTGTGTTAGAAGGGAACCAGTTTAACCTAATTTGTCTTGCATATCCTGAAATCACCAAGTACAGCAGGAAAACAAAATAAGACTGGTTCCTGAAAGGCTTACTCAGTCCACTGAAGTCACTGAGTTTTAACTCAGCAAGGGCTGTGGGATTTGAACCGAAACAGAAATATACAGGCTAAGTGCTGCAGGCTGCAAAGCTTACAACCAGTTAAAGATCCCATAGTTATACAAAACAAATACATCACTCACACCTCAATACTACTCTGTTTTATCAAAACAGTTAAGAATTGTCTTAATCTATTCCACTTGTCAAAATTCATCACATGCAGCTTAGAAGTGCTCAGAAACTATATGAAAATTTTCAATGTCATCCTTTCTAGGACTACTTTAAAATCTTCAGAAACCACTGCTCTAGAGCGATGTGTCAGGAACCATGGTAGCCAGAGGGCAGCACAAAAGCAACAATGTAAAAGAGCATGATGATGGATGCAGACCAAAACTACAACCAACCTGTACCCAAAAGAGCATAGCTGGTGTGAACACACACTTCCATTGGCACATACACTGGTGCTAATCTACAAGTTCCATTCTCTAATGTAGAGAAGACCCGCTGCCTGTAGAAACCTTTAAGCAGCTTTTTGTGAATTAATTTTCATAATGACACTTACAATTCCTGTAACTGAATATACACTAAATTTATATTTTTGTGTAAATCTGACCTTCATAATATTTATTGCATGCTATTCCCCTTCACAGTCAACTGTTACAATTTTATACATTGTTTATTGCATGCTATTTCCCTTCACAGTCAACTGTTACAATTTTATACATTTAGTTCCATGTTCAAAATTCACTATATATGTCAAGTCAATCTTTAGATATTAATTTATATAGCAATTCTCAATTGCTGGTCTCTGCTTTTGAATATATACCATTTGTATTGCTGGAAAGAAATATAGCAGAAAATGGTAATCATGGTAAATGACAGAGATGGTAAGATGGACGGAATTTTAAACTTTAAAGCAAAAGGCCAGTAACTAGCCTGCCCTTACCTGTTCAGAAAAGCATTTCCAAAGCGGCTGAGTTTACGGAATGGCTTCTTGGGGTCCACAACCAGTGCATTTCCAGGAGTACTGCCTTCTGCATCTCCATACATCACAGCAATGAAAGAATCAGTGGTAGGTTCTGGACCAATCCTCATACCTGGAAAATCCTGTTCTAATAGATACCTAGGGAAGGGGATTTCAAAAAGGAAAGGGAAGATGAGCAAGCACTGAAGTAAAAAAAATAATGCTGTTTTCTTTATAATCATATTAAAGAAACAAAATTAAAAAGACATATACCCCCTCAGTCCAATCACCATCAGGGATCAGCTTTTTATGCATTTCAATATTTTTCTTGGCTAGAAATAGGTATGAGAGTGTAACGCTGGAATTGCAACCACTCCCAAAAGTCAGATAATGTCAAAATGATGAAAGTCAATCCTTCCCTGTAAATCCATAGATAAAAACATGCCTTCAACTATAAGATTCACTTTACCAGTTGGGGCTACTAAGTGACTCAAGCATGACTACGCCAAGTTGTAGTTAACTCAAGGTATGCTGCTGCACATAAGTGTTGCTAGCAAATAGAAAAATTCATATACAGTAAACTTCCGATAATCCGGCACCTTTAGGACCCAGGGGGTGCCGGATTATCAGATTTGCCGGACTATCGGAAGGAGGGGCTATAAGGGGCCTGGGGCGGGGGAGATGCCACCCCAGACCCCTCATAGCCCCCCCCTTCTGATAGTCCGGTTCTGCCCCAGGCATCCCTGATTCAGCCACTGCTGGTCAGTTTCAGCAGCAGCTGAATCAGGGATGTCTGCAATAGAGCAGCTGGGGTGCTGCCGGGTGGGTCCCGCAGCGCTGAGGGGCAGCGCTACGGCACCAACCCAGCAGCACTCCAGCTGTTCTTGGGGACGCCTGGGGCAGAGCAGCTGGAGTGCTGCCGGGTTGGTCCCGCAGCGCCAAAGGACGGCGCTGCGGGACCAACCCGGCAGGACCCCAGCTGCTCTGCCCCACGGGTCCCCGATTCAGCCACTGCTGAAACAGATCAGCGGCTGATTTCAGGAAGCCTGGGGCCGAGGGGATTATTGGAAGTTTTCTTCATAATTACAAAGGA